GTCTCTTGTAGGGTGGTCCAATAATAGTGACCCTCATTGAGGTCAAACAACAGCACTTCTATTGTTTGAAACAATGGAAGTGCTGTTGTTTTGTTATTGTCAGGAGGACGCTTTTATTGGGCCATTCTGTGGCAAGACCATTAAACACTTAGACTAGGCATTTGTTTTGAAGGTTTCTCTTTTCTTGTAATTGTTTGAACTGTTGAGAGTTTAAAATGTTGAGATACTGACAAATTAAAGTTTAATTTTCTAGTTTTAGTAGGCTATATCTCTGTTGCCGATCGTCTTTTCACTAAAAAATATAAAATATAAAATCCCCTATACTCACCAATATTTTAGAAGTTTGAGTCATGTAAAACAATTTATTAATTTTAAGTGGCCTAATAGAGATTTACCCTAAAAATTCTTGCATGGTCTTGACAATCTGAACGCGTGAGTGTCCCGCCAGATGCGTGAAAATTGGCAGCCCTGAAACTTGTCTCGAATTGAATATCTCACGCCAGCCAGCTCACCAAAGTTTGCATCCCTGCATCAAAACTTTATTTTTGTTTTTTATGATACATAAAATCACAAAATGAATAAATATCAAATATTGCTACTGTATTTCTGTCTTAACTAATAGGTGCCCCTGTAGTGACCAGTTTGTAATACGCAGCCTTCTTGGCCATCAGCTCTTCATGCGTGCCTTTCTCGATCACAACCCCCTGGGACATGACAGCTATGATATCGGCGTTTTGGATGGTGGACAGCCTGTGCGCTATGACCATACAGGTGCGACCCCGTCTGGCTTCGTCCAGAGCAGCCTGCACCTCCTGCGGAGGGAAAGGGATCAGCGGTCACAGCCGGGTCTGTAAGCACGGTGCTGTGTGATTCGTGGTCAGTGACGCACCGCGGGGAGCTTTAGCGACGCCACCGCTATGCTGCATAACGGATTATCTCATATCGAATACAACATACAGCCGGTGTTGTGCCGACTTTCGCATGCATGCCGAGAACTGCGTGCACTTCGCCAAAAAGGTCGGATGCAAATCTCGGCAGCTATAAAATTGGGGGTTGGGAGGTATAATAATAATAATAATAATAATAATAATAATAATAATAATAATAATAATAATAATAATCGTCAGGCATGCAAAACTCAGCATAACACCGATCGCATTTTGGTTATGGCAGTAGGGTTATGAGTGTGAAACTATAAGGACTCAGGTTTCAGTCTCAATGTGAATTCAATCATTATGGATGTGACATTCAGACGCAAATTAGCAAGCAAAACACCATAGAGTTGGACAAGCTTAGCGTCAATGAGTCACTTTGCATACCTTTTCATGTAACCTCTACAGTTTAAGATAGGTCATCAAAACTCATATCAATGATTAATTTACATGTGAGAAATACACAGCATTTGATCAGCATTTGATGTGCCAACAAGTGTACCTTTGCATGGAATTGCCCCTTAGAGGAAGTTATCAATAAATAAATAAAACAGTAATATCATGTAGAATAATATAAACTGAAATATTAATATACGAGTTATACATGTCACGTTAGATTGTCGTGTCTGCTGCTTATAGTTTATAACAGTAAAATACTGTGACGTAAATTTTTAGCAAAATGCTCTTCATATCAAGTTGCTATTGAGTTCACAGCTTGGAGAGAAATCAACTGATCTAAATCAATGTCTATGTATCTTTTTAAGGAAAATACTTAAGACCAGAAGTGGAGATTTCAGGTCCAGAGGATATAAATCCAGACTAAGATTTTGTTTCAACCAACCAGTTGAGTATAAAGAGTCACAGTCACAGAGTACTCAACTGGTTGGTTGAAACAAAATCTTGGTCTGGATTTATACTCTTTGGACCTGAAATCTCCACCTCTGCTTAAGACCATGATGGTAGGTGACCTTCTCGCTCTCTGTATCCAGGGCAGACGTGGCCTCATCCAGCAGCAAGATCTTGGGGTTTCTGACAATGGCCCGAGCGATGGCGATGCACTGCTTCTGCCCCCGGGACAGCTGGGAGCCCTGGGCACCAACCTGCGTCTCATATCTCTGCCGAGGAAAAGTGGACAAATTTAATCAGGGATTAATATGTAGCCCAAGATAATGATTTTGCAATTCGTTGCTGCTACAGTGATACAGTGCTCACAGAACGTCTTGGGATGCTTGCTTAATTCTGTAAAAAGGTTGCAAATGTAATGGTTTCATAACAAAAGTCCATTGACAAACAGCACTGTATTTAATTAACACATCTGCTCATATTTTCTGAACAAGCATTTTCATTTTATTAAATTACATACTTTTTTTGACAGTCATTCAGTTCTGTTCTTGCCATTTTGCTATAAATTGGAATTGTAGTCATTGTCTCCCAAAGGGATACTGTTAGGTGTTTTATGTTATTTCAACACTGTTACTAATTAAAAAGCACCCAATGACACTGCTTGTTCAATAACAATTTTTTAACTTACTGTAGAATAGCTCATTTTAGAACTATAACTTGGGTTTCAATTTATTACTACTTAAAATTAACGTGTTACTTAAATCCACGTGATATATGTTTTTTGTAAACAAATGAATACAGTAAAGATTTTTGTTATGAAACCAGTAAATTTGCAGTATGTTTACTGAATTAAGCAAACATCCCAAGACTTGAGCACTGTATATGATTAAGGAATTCCGGTTGTTCACTTACATCTGGCAATGACATGACAAAGTCATGCAAATAGGCTTTCTGTGCAGCAGCGATGACCTCATCCATGCCAACTGTTCGACTGTTGTCTCCATACTGGATGTTTTCACCTATACTACAGTCAAATAGCACGGGCTCTTGGGAGACGATACCAATCTGGGATCTTAGGAACGGCACACTGATATTCCCCGTTGGATAACCATCTATCAACTAAAAAAGAGAGTGTAATTTTAATGGATAGTGTTACTGCAACACCGTGAGCTACATATCTGGCAGTGATTAAGTTGCCCAGGATTCTTCAGCTGCTTGTCTCGCTGGTAGTTATTATCCTATAAAGAATTTCCTATAGGTGAGGCAGATGCAGATGATTGGTTCACTTCAGCAGGTAAATGGAAATAGCAGCCAATGAAAGATGAGAGAGCAAAACCGTGGCTCACCACTCTGCCATCATCCGGGTCATAGAATCTCTCCAGCAGCTGGATGCTGGTGCTCTTGCCACAACCACTGCTGCCGACAAAAGCCAAGGTCTGGCCTGGCTTCACTGACACAACAAGCCCATTTAACACCTGGATGTCTGGCCTTGAAGGGTATGTAAATCTGCAGTTGACGAACTCTATCTCCCCTTTAAATCCTTCCTTTAAAACAAGCAAGATTCATGTTTGCTAATTAAAGACCACAGCCTCAGATTGAATATTTTACATCATACGACTGTAATATATAAAGTATTGTTGTAAAATGCACTTCCACATGAGTAGTACATTCTCATTTCTTCAGCAAAGTATTGCTACGATAGATAGCAGATTACCATCATATGCCAAGTTGTGTTTTTTTTGTGTTGGCAATGCATTTTGTTTTTAATTTTTTATTTGTTAATCATAAACCACTACGTGATGCTCACAATAGTTGGTACCGCCATGGTAATTTGTAACATTGTGGATTATTATGGCTAAGAGTGTTGAAATGGTATCTCGAAGCAATTCCATGAGAAGAGCAACCCATGTATGTACAGTATGTGGTTAAGGGACGGCCAGTGTCTCACCCATTTCTGTCCCCCAGCCTGGCTGATTTGTGGGACTCTGTCGAGCAGCTTGAAGAGCTGGGCGGCTGCAACTTTGGCTTTGGCGTAGTCGGGGGTGAAGGAGGAGGCCCTCCCCAGGGCTGTGCCGCTGATCACTACAGCAGATATCACCCTGCGGGGGTTGGCATAGAGACACAGAGAGATGCATGCTGGGTTGTTAAGCAATCTCACCATCATCTCCAGCGCGTTTCACACTCGCGTGCCTCCTGCCCTACGCTTCCTGGGACCTACTGGGACCATGTCCCGAACAACTGGTCCGAAACTGGATGGATGGACAAACTAAACTCATGGAAGCTTCAAAATTGAGACCTTCTCTGTATTAACAACCATTTAGATTTTGGTATATGAGCATTTTCATGCTTATATTGACGAATGCCGATCTTTTAATGTGCATGTCATACCTGAAAACTAACATATAATGTAGTCCTTCATTGTTGACCAGATAGCCACCATATCGAAAGGAGGCCGCATATGTCATAAATATGACACACTGTGCAAATGCGAAACAGATTCCATAAACTCTGGCCTTCTTTTTGGCAGCCCGATATGGGGCCTCCAGTTGCCTCTCGTACAAATCGACAAACATGCTCTCCTTAGCCAGCCCTGCGATGGTCCTGATGTTAGCTAACGCCTCACTGGAAACCTGTGCGGGACGAAGACCGAATACAGGACAGTGGTGACAATATAGTACTTTAGGGGCAAATAGCATGTAAGGTGATGAAACATGAGTGCAATAGCAGGTTAACATACCCGCCCTGCAGTCTCCATGGCTTCCTTGTCCTCATTTGCGAAGCCTGTCAGCATTTTTGCCTGGAAAGCCCCTGACAGCCCGATAAGTGGCAGAAAGCAGGCCACCAGAAGGCTTAGCTTCCAGCTAAAGTAGAACGCTATGATAAGGGACGCTCCAATGCTAGTCAGGGAATTGACAATCATTCCGATCTGTGACCCAGTGGCCTGAGAAGGACAAAGCGAGCTGTGAATCATCCAAGGAGAGTAGCTGAGGAATTACCAGCAGTGATTCGTATATTTCAGTCAGGACTGCTAATCTTGGAGAGTATCTCACCCCTTGAACCATGGAAGCATCCGTCGCCAGCCTTGTGGTAAGAGCTCCAGGGCTGTTTCTCGGGTCGTCGAACCAGCCGATCTCTTGCTTCAGCATGGCCTGGAATCCCATCCTCCTCAGCCTTCGTGTCAGAAGTTCCCCAGATTTCCCAAAGGAGTAGCCCTTAAACAAAACAGGAAGGCCACTTCCCATACCTCCCCTGGATATTTGGGTCGCTTGTTTTTACAGGCAGTCCATCGATATAGTTACAGCAGTAAGAACGTGGAAACAGCGCAGGCTTTACAAGAAGCTTGCATACCTGTAGAAACTGGGAGAAGAAGCTTGTGACCGCTACGATGATAAACAATATGCAAATGCCGTTGATCTGGGACCTCTGCTGATCCAGGTCCGTCACGGAAAATGCCTGCATGTGAGGAGCAAAGACGGGAGTTTCTTGGTCTCATGAAGCAGAAAGCAGCCCGAAAGCAGATGGCCATCCTCACATTTCTCACCCCTAGGATCTGGCTGAATAAAATGGCATAGATGGGATTGACTGATCCATTCACTCCTGCCCCCAGTGAGCCCAGAAGCATGTAGGGCCATTCAGGTCGGTTGTACTTCAGAATCCGGGCCACCGGCGCCGCTTCCACAAGCTCCTCTGAATCCTGCTTATTAACACAGTGTTAAAACACAGAAAACGACTATGCTATATTATGTATGAAAAACAGATTCAGTCGTATAATTGCAATTATTAGAAATCCATTCATATGCAAATACACCATTTCAGCATTTATTCACAATGTTGCATGTTCTACATAACTGTCACAGTAACTGAAGCATATTCTTCCAATGGTGGACTATGGGTAAGAGAGATGCTGCATCTGACAAACTGTTAAGATGAAAGTCGTAAGGGTATTAGGTGAGAGCAGAGCCAGTAAATTAGACAGGTTCAAAGAGCGTAGTCCATTCACCTGCTGAGAAACCTAATCTGTTTTATGGCATTCCGTGTGCATTTCCACTGCAATAAATGTGATGTCCACCTTAGGGTTAATTCTCTTCAAATACTGTAATAAACCTGCAACATTAGGCTTGTCCACACACTTGTTTCAACATCACTATAATTGGAAAATTAGGCAGTTCTTGAGACATATATCACCTCTTTCTTTTCGGTTTCACGATCCGTGTGGTTGCTGAAATCAGGTTTGACTTTGACCGTTTCTCGTATTGCATCAGGAATGAACTCGCTGGAGATGCGAGATTCAGATCTCAGACGTAGAGATGCCCTTCAAAGAACACGGAAGAATGTCATTGGTGCTTTAACTGCAAATCTACATATGAATATTTTATTGTGTACTGTTTTTTTTTGTTTGTTTTTAATGACTTTTGATGCGTTTACTACCCTGCTGTTGGTTATCATCTATCCATTTAAAGACTGATTAGTGACATTTAAGTCTTCACCTTAATGAAGATTCATAGGATGTCCTCCTGAAACTGCCCACTCTTTCAATGCATGGGTCCTCTTTGCTTTCTTTGTCAGGAGCTGGAAATTGATATGAGAATGACTTGCAAATTGTAATGCAAATGAGCAGGGCTGGCTCTACCTTTTCAGTGGCCCTGGGTAAAGCTTTACGTGGGAGACCCCCCTACCCCCTACCCCCCTACTGTACGTGGGAGACCCCCCTATCAACAAAACTTATGATAATTTCACTTCCTCCACATTGCAGGTAATTCGGGGGCTCTAAGCAACTGCCTATTCTGCCTTAAGCTAAAGCTGATTCTGCAAATAAGAGATAATATGAAAAATAAACAATAATACACCTACTTTGCTTTACCATGTCACTGGTCACATCACTGCCCTGGTTCTGTAGCGTGACCAGGGTGTAGTAGATGCCCATTTTCGCAAGAAGCTCAGTATGGGTGCCTCTCTCAACGGCTCTTCCATGTTCAAACCCAATGATGACGTCGGCATTCCGGATGGTGGACAGCCGGTGGGCAATGCTGATGGTTGTCCTACCCAACCGAGCCTAGCAATGAGAGATTCATGAGCAAGGAAACAAGCGAATCCCTCTTGCTGTTACAAAATGACACTCTGCATTGATGCTTGTCTACATTTCCTTATTTGACTGAGCAGCACTGACTTTATCCAGGGCCTCCTGTACCACAGCCTCGCTCTCGTTGTCCAGGGCAGATGTAGCCATGTCCAGCAGCAGGATCCTGGGGTTTCGGACCAGAGCTCGAGCGATGGCGATCCTCTGCTTCTGACCACCGCTCATCTGACCACCGCCCTCTCCCACCAGCGTCTCGAATTTCTGATCTCACAAGGTCGTCTGGGTCAATGGCGTGAATGCATTCGATTAAAGATCATTATCGTCTGGATGCTCACAGCACCTGCGGTAAATCCATGATGAAGTTGTAGGCGTTGGCCTCCTTGGCTGCTTTCACGATGTCCTCCATGGAGACGCCCGGCCGGCCGTAGCGGATGTTCTCAGCGATGGTCGTGGCAAACAGCACGGGCTCCTGCTCCACAATCCCAATCAGGGATCGAAGCCACTGGATGTTCAGTCCCCGGATGTCATGGCCGTCCAATGTCACCTGAGAGGCAGTCAAACCGCAGAGCATAATATCACACAATTGTCTGATTAAAATGGTGCTGAGAAGTTAAATACAGTCATGTGTCGTTTAACGACGGGGAGAAATGTGAAATGTTCTGAGAAATGTGTCTTCAGTAGATTTCGTCATTGTGTGAACATTGTAGAGTATACTTACAAACTACGCATAACCTGGAATACTTTGTTAAAGTACTTTCGTATAAGCAGTACACTTTAAAATAATGCTAAAAAGTACAGTATAGTAAATACATAAACCAGTAATAGTTTATTATTATTATCAAGTATTATGTACTGTACATAACTATACTTTTATATGACTGGCACCATTACTAAAAACACGTGAGTAATGTGTTGCTCTACAAAATCATGACACCTTTCCTCTCTATTATAATTTCAAGGTATCACCGTCGTATATATGGTCTGTCACTGACAAAAATGTCATCATGCGGCACATGACTGTAACTGCTAACAGTACTCAGTAAAGTATATACAGTATAAGTATATAAAAAGTATATATCTCAAAGGGCAAATTGGAATAAACAAAAGCCTCTGATTATTACCATTCCTTCACCTGGGTTGTAAAATCTCTGAATAAGCTGCACTGCGGTGCTTTTTCCAGAACCACTTGGCCCGACAAATGCAGTGGTCTCTCCGTACTTCACATGAACGGTCAGCTTGTCTAAAATCTTTAAAAAATGCAAAGCAAATTTCCCAGTCACCTTTTACTACCTTTGAATAAAATAATAAAAATGCAAATATGTACTTACAGATTTTGAGGGGCAGGCAACATACCTTTACCTCTGGCCGGGAGGGGTAATGGAATGTAACACCGTGAAATTCAATATCTCCTCTCACTTTGTCTAACCTGTGGCCCTCCTCTGAGAAGCAATCGATTTCTGGTTCCTAAATATTAATCCAAGGAGAAACATAGACGAAAGATTATTCATTGCCTTTCATTGAAATATTTAGTTGCCTATAATCATTGTATCCTCTATAGCTGAGTTCTTGACAGAGTCCCTTACCCGGTCAATAGTGTCAAAAATTGTCTTAGCAGCAGCTCGCCCAGAGGCGAAAGCTTCCAGGCATGGTGAGGCCTGGCCCAGGTTCATGGCCGCCATGAGGATTCCGAAAAACACCTAGACATACAGAGGTGCAACATTAAGTCTATGTCACTTCACAGTCATCTCAGCTCTATGATACACAGGTCAAACACTGAGATGAAATATCATTTCTCATTAGTCATAGTGTAAAATAAAAGGTATAAATAAAATATAAATATCTAAGACATAAACATAAGACATATTGAGACATATGAGTAAAATCTGGACATAGAAATAAGACACAAAACAGTTAAACACCTGATTTGGTGGGAAAGACTGTGCAAATGGCCAAAGGAATGTAATAAACAGATAAAGTAGATTTTATTTCCAGTGTAATGTGTTGTGGATCCATCGCATGTTTTCTCAGCGGAAGCTTAAACAGAGGGACCTGGTAGTCTTTAACAAGGCCCAGGAGTACTGCGAGAGTAATCAGAGAGGAGAAGCTGAAGCACACACCAGCATGACGTGTGCAGCATGTGCTGTACCTGGATCAGGCTTCCGGGAGACAGCTCCTTTGTGTCAATGACCAGCTTGGAGCCGTACCAGAAAGCCAAGGCGTAGCAGAGGAAGATGATGCACCACAGATAGCCCTGAAACACACCAACAATCGTCCCCTTTTTGATGCCCCAGTTCTGAGCCTCAACAAGGTTTCTGTCGTACCTGTGAAAACACAAACAGCCTGAATATTCTACACTCTACAGAAAGAGCAAGAATAATGTGACTGATTTATACATTATCCTCCATTGAAATTGGTATATTAAGCTCCATTCAGTGATAGACTGTAGAACCTAAAAGACCCATTAGATCAGGGGTCACCAACTCCGGTCCTGGAGAGCTACTATCCAGTAGGTTTTCTATCCTACCTGGCTTCTGATGACCCACACTAGTTCTCAGGTAAATACCAGGAGCAGGTGTGGCTCATCAGAAGACAGGTAGGATAGAAAACCTACTGGATAGTAGCTCTCCAGGACCGGAGTTGGTGACCCCTGCATTAGATATTACTGTGATATCAATGCTGCTTAACCTCTCTGCCTCCTTGGCTTCCCCCCCAAAGGCCGCCACTGTCCTGATGGACGACAGCACCTCGTCCGCCACTGCGCCTGCCTTAGCGTAGGCCTGGAGCTCACGGCCTGTTAGCCTAGCAACTGCCTGGGGAGCAGAAGGACAGGAAATGGGATAGCGGAAGCAGACGGGGCAACGAGGCTAAACTCATTTGTCATAGCAATGCAGTGGAGATCATGCGATTCATGCTATTTACAATGCTGTTCATTGTAGCATTTTTAAGAGGTGAATCTACAAAGGAAGATATGTCGATTGAGATTATGACATTTGATGAAAATGAACAAGTCAGAATTCTTGCAAGACTTATAATTGTAAACTGACATATTAAAAATATTCAAATCTGGGATCAGTCGTCTTATTTATACATTGAAATTGATTTCTCTGTAATATTATGACTAGTCACTAAAACAAAATGATTTTCATGCATTGTATTTCATTTGCATATTTTGCTTTGTTCTTACTTAAAACAATGCCAAATTCAATTAAATCTCTGTGCTTTGAAATTAAAATATTTAAATGTCATTTTTAAAAAATTTGAGGTATTAAACCTTGCATGACAACGCTTGATAAAAGCCTGAGTTACTTACCATAGCCATTAACCCAGCTGCAAGCCCAATTAGGGGACTGACAGCAACGACCACGAGGGTCAGCTTCCAGCCCCCGATAAAGCCCACCATGAAGCCAAAGATGAAGGTGGAGATCCTTTCAATGAAGATGGACACTTGGTCTGCAATGGCATTGTTAATTTTGTTGATGTCACTGAAATGGAACACAAGGAGACCATTTAGTTTCGCTCCTTTCGCAAGGATCTTAGGGGAAAGAGTACAGCTCAAATTTTAAGCATAATGAAATTAAAAAGCCATTAGTTATACATATTCTATAAAAACCAACTCCATCCTTTTCAGTGTTGCGGGGTGTCCAGAGCCTATCCTGGGCACTACAGGAACCAGCCCAGGATCCGGTGCCAACCCATCACAGGGCACATTCACGCACATGGCCAATTTGGCATCCCGAGGGTCACTGACTGTCTGGTCGAGAATTACAATGGTAATCTAGGTGTGTAATCTAAGCAATGTTGAAAGCGGAGTGATTGTTGTTAGTCGGCAGTTTTGTGGGCAAAAACCTCCTGTTAATGAGAGAGGTCAGAAAAGAATGATTCAAGCTAACAAGCAAGCCAAAATAACACTCAGTACAACAGAGGAGTGCAGAAGATCACAAAGGGAACACTGGGTGAAAATATGGTTCTTATAATTGTCCTGGGTATGAATGAAGAAAGTAACAAACAGAGGTGGAAAGTTCAGGTCCAGAAAGTACAAATCCAAGGTTTTGTACTTTCTGGACCTGAACCAGTTGAGCATAAAGAGTCACAGTCACAGAGTACTCAACTGGTTGGGTGAAATAAAAAACGTGGACTGGATTTGTACTTTTTGGACCTGAACTTTTCACCTCTGGTAACAAAGACTCTTTAATACTTTACATCAGGGGTGGCCAATCTTATCCGCAAAGGGCCGGTGTGTTTGCGGGTTTTCACTGCAACTCCCTAATTAGATTACTAATTAGAGGACTGATTGGCTGAAGAGTCCTCACACCTGGGTTTGAACAGCTGACCTAAATGTTATCCCAAAAACCTGCATACACACCCGGCCCTTTGCGGATAAGTTTGGCCACCCCTGCTTTACATGCATGAAAGAAGAGGAGTGTACAAACTCTGATATTCTTGTGTTTAGCTCTCCAGTGGAGGTGCAGTCAAACCAGCCAATTTCCATGCGCATGATCTTTCGGAAGTACGTCTTCCTAATCTTCTGTACCTGACGGGCTGCAGCCAGCACCCAAAGTGAAATCTGAAATGTGGACCTTAGGCTCACTCAGATGCACTGTGATGACTTTAATGTCATGAAATGATTACCAGAAGACACACTTTAAACAGAAGTGTTGAGTACAGTTAATTACAGGTATCCTTTGCATAACTTACTTGAAAGTAACTAAGGATGAAGACTCCAACTCCAATGCCAACATAGTAATAGGCAAACATGGTCATCTGGGCCTCTATGTTTACTCTGTTCACAAAACAAGTGCATTTATTTGTGATATTTAGAAACAGAGATACAACAAAATGTTGATATATTTCATATTTGAAAGGTTAACGAAACATGCTTTTGTTAAGGCTAGCTGTACGAATCATTACGATGAAACGAAAAATGGAAAAACTTATCCAAAGATACTGATTACTTACCCACAAGCCACTGTGGTGTTGTCAGCCTGTTGGAAAATGGAGCCATTGAGCCAGTTGATGATGTTATTGGTACAGGTCTTATTGGGATCTGCCAGCACCTGGACCTCCAGCTCATAGTCCACAAAGGTGTCCGTCATCAAGCCATAGACCAGCAGCATCAGTGGGGAGGCAGCACCGTGGATTAGGGCACACAGCCCCCCCAATACCATTATGGCCGTGTCCTTCCATGTCGCAAAACGGAACTGGAAACCAGTATCCAGAATCAGTCTGGTACCATGCTCCAGTGACACCCACAAAGACCACAACGACAGTAAGAACCTTGATTCCTCAGAGGGAGCTGCTGAAATGTTATTGTGTTACAACCAAATTGCCCACTAAAATTATAGAGAAATGTTTGCATTAAAATGTATAACTTTGACCTATTGATTTATCACACTTCAAAAGAGTTCAAAAGTTTTTTGCACTGCCATATAGTGTATCTTATAGTAATTTTAGATATTGTCATTCAGATGCAGTATTATAGTGATGTTCTATATATGTATTATATATAATACATATGGTACTTACCAGCTGAAAATATCCAACACCCAAGCTGATTTCGTCTTTTTTTTCACTCCTGCAGGGATAAAAAATACAAGCAAACAATACAAAACCACTGAAAATAGTCACAATGAATAATATTAGTTGACTGTTACCAACTTTATTATTTTTCACTATCAATATGTAATTATTAAAATGAAATAAAAAAATATAAATCACACCTACCCCTTTTTAGTGTTTGAGGAATCTAAAAAAATAGAGTAATATATGAACAGTGTAGCTTTCATGAGTGCATTATATTTGTGTGTATGTGTGCGTGTGTCTGGGTACATGGACAGTTGTGCCACTTATAATATTTACCACATAATATTTAGCACATATACAGTGTAAACCAAAATATGCACCAGTGACTCCAGTGTGATAGTTACAGTCACTGCCGGTTCTCATTTCCATCCCATCCTACAACTTTCCTCCCCAGCAATAATTGTTACCAATAAACATCATGGTGCCACAGTATTTCACTCCCTGTCTGAATCTCATCTTTGCATATTTTTGTGACGCACACAGATACACTTGTGAAATAACACTCTAATGGTGATGATGACAGGGCAATTTTTCAAGCAATGTTGCTGGGCAACTGCCAACCAGTTGAGACAAAGGGCAACTCATCTGGGTCTGGATGATCACAAAGAGTAGCCAACTGCCAATCGAAGTTTTTGAAATAGAAATTTGTTGCCCAGTATCAATGGGAAAGTGCCCGAGGAGCATTGGTCAGCAACATTGCCCAGCAATATTGCTCAAAAAGTTGCCCCGTGGATTGACACCATTAGCCTCTATCAATCATTCAAACAGCATATAATTTGTTCATTCCAAGTCTCATAAACCCCTAAAAACCATCTTGCTCTTGCAGAAATCCTGTTACCACAGTTACGGGCATGTTACAGCTGTGACATACATTACCATCATTTAATGGCGACGTCTGGCATTCTTTTCCCTCTTCTACAGGTTGTTTGATTTCCATTTCAGTGATTTCACCCATTCCTGGATATTCTAGGGCCTTCTTAAAAACTTCTTAAAAATTGGTAAAACTGCAAAAGAAAATATATACTAGCAGGGCTGATGTAGGCACAGTTACTATTACCATACATCTGTCCATTCAGATTTCATAACTGCTTTTCTGGTACAGGGTCTTGGCCATTCCATAGCGTATCCCAGGATGCACTGGACACGAGGCGAGGGGATACCCTGAACAGATGTCAGTCCACGGCAGAGCATGTGATCACACACACTTTATGGGCAATTTAGAGACACTAGTTAACCTAACGGCACGTTTTTAGAGTGCTGAAGGAAATGGGACTGTGTAGTGAAAACCCGCACAGATACAGGGAAAACACATAAACTACACAGACAGATGCTTAAAATTTAGACTAATCGAGTTCATCTTAGGTGTGATGTTCTCAGGCAGGAAATACGAGGCAATCTATAACCTATCAACTTATTCTTAACCAAATTATTTTAGATTGTTAAAATCATGTAATCTGTTGTCAATACAAAGGGTATATTAAACATTTGATTTTGCTAAATTTGGTGGACCATAAACATGCAACACAAGCCCATAGACATGCAATAGGACTTTCGAAAACAGTCCTTTATTTAATGTTACATCAAAAACAATGCATCTGCAAGAAAATCAAACCTTGCAGCTCTTTTCTTAAGCAAAGTTGAGAAATTAATAATGAGGAACTATACCTTTTCATCAGTGTTCTTAAATCCAGTCGAGTTTGCTTCAGTCACCAATGCAGCCTGCTGTTTTTACCCCAGCAGACTCTCTTTCTGTCTCCACCTCTAATAAACATATAAAAGTCTTCCCATTCTTCTTGTAATAAAACTATATGGCCTTCAAGTTCAGTTAATCATCTAATCAATAGGAAGAACAAAGTTGGCCTGAACCCACCCATTTGTAGGTCAAAGCCTTCAAAGACGTTCAATGTCCCAGGAATTTCCTGTTCTTAAAAAAACAAAATCTTCTTTGCCAGTTTTAGAGACAGGCAATGATTGATTTCCAAGTGGGTTAAATTAAATCAAGAATGTTTCTGGACAGCTGTTGTTGCTGCAGGAAGAGGTGTTGGCGTGGCCAGCAGGGGAGCCCATCCTGTGGTCTGTGTGGATCCCAATACTCCAGTGCAGTGACGGGGACACTGTGGCCAGCAGGGGAGCCCATCCTGTGGTCTGTGTGGATCCCAATACTCCAGTGCAGTGACGGGGACACTGTGGCCAGCAGGGGAGCCCATCCTGTGGTCTGTGTGGATCCCAATACTCCAGTGCAGTGACGGGGACACTGTACTGTAAAAATGATGCTGTCCTTCGGTTGAGACGTAAATCTGAGGTCCTGACTCTCTGAAGTCATAAAAGACATCTTTTGAAAGAGTACGGGTGGTACTCCGATGTCCTGACTAAAATTGCCCACTATGGCCATATCAAATCTGGCCTCCTAATCATCCCCTATATCTAATTGGTGAATTCTCTCCTGCCCCTTCACCACCTTAGCTACTGTGTGGTGAGTGTACTGGCACAGAATGGCTGCTGTTGCATCATCCAGGTGCGTGACACACAGTGGTGGTGGTTGAAGTGGCTCCCCATCGGTTCTGTAAAGTGCTTTGGGTGTCTTGAAAAGCACTATATAAATGTAACATTCATATATGGTATACTCACATATACTCACATATACTCTACATCACATGGGTAATGCAACATATTGATGGCTGCCAAAATAGTGCCTCTTTGGCCAAAGTAAACTATAGGGTAATATATTCAGGATATTTTACAATTTCCTAAAGCAAGGTCATGTATTATTTTCATTTTCAGCATCAATGATCAGTTTATTGACATTTTAAAAGGGCACTAAGCAAAACAAATGTGTCATAGAGAGCTTATTACTGGGTTTTCTGAGATGGAGTAACAGTCAAGAAAAGCAAGAGCAGACCACAGATATCAATCAATGTTTTGTTAGAGCTGGGTAGACGATGGACAGTCGATGTGGAAGAAAAAAGTTATTAAAACAACAACTTGGTTTATCTACAGAATTATCTTGACTTTAGTGCAGCAGTGTGGATAAACATAGCCACTTACATATCCATTAAAACACCCAGTTAGATAGACTATTACATGATAATTCCTTCCCAAAGTAGCCAGGTTTAGCACTAGCACTAGATCGATCCACTCGTCACCCCAGCCCCCCATCAAAGCAGGCCTGGATGACACACAGTTTCCTCAAGCTTAACAGCGGCAAAACTGAGAGTATCCTGCTTGGCCCAAAATCCATCCATCATATAACTGGCCTGTCTCCTCATCTCGCTGATGGCATGGCAGTTCTCCTCTCTACTGCAGTCTCAGTGTAATTCTGGACCTTTTCAGTTTCAGCTGTTAGCAAAATCTTTGTTTCACCTACGTAACATCTCTCACATCAGACCCTGCCTCTCCCAGCCTGCTGCTGCCCACCTTTGCTCCTCCCTATCTCCATGATCTTCTCCTGTCCTATCAGCACCCTTGTACTCTGAGATCTTCATCTTCTGGGCTCCTCACTGTTCCTCTTTCCAAACTCCCCAGCACTGGTGACCAAGCCTTCTCTGGGGTGCCCCCCCCCCTTTGGAATTCCCTTCCCTTAATACTAATAATAATAAGAAGAAGAAGAAGAAGAAGAATATTATAGGTAGTAGTAGTAGGAGTGGAACTGGGGTGGTTAGCACTGTTGCCTCATATCTCTGGAACTTGGGTTCAAGTCTCCACTGGGGTTTGCATGTTCTCCCCATGTCATTGTGGGGTTTCCTCTGGGTATTCCAGTATACCCCCCCCTCCCCCACACAGTCCAAAAACATGCTGAGACTAATTGGAGTTACAAAATTGTGAATGGTGTGTGAATCTGCACTGTGATGGATTGTTCCCTGCCTTGTACCCAAAGTCTCTGGGATAGGGTCTGGACACCCACAATGCTGAAAAGGACAACTGATTACAGAAAATGGATGTATTATTAATATTAAACAGTCCAGAAAGGCCATGCATTATTATTATTTTTGTTTTTCACTATATTTTTTTCCAAAAGTTGTCATTGGTCAATTTGATGTCAATCAGAAGGTCGCCGGTTCAAGCCCAGCCTCAGCACGTCTGCGGGTCCTTGAGCAAGGCCCTTAACCCCCAGCTCCCTGGGCATCACTACGGGTGGCTGCCCTTTGTGGACAGCTTACTCTACAAAGAGCAAGTTGAGGGAGGCATGAAGACAATCTCCCTGTTAGGACTCTGGCAATGAGCAGACGGACTGATGCCACCAAAGCAGGCAGGCTTGAAGGCTTGACAGCAACATAAAGGAGATAAAGTGGGCATAGTAATGCATTCCTGATGGCAACAAATCATGTATTTGGTCACAAGCACACAATAACAATGACCTCCTTGTTACTTCCCCTGACGCATCAAGAATGATAATAATCCAGTTAGACTTGTAGTAACTTGCATCCAGCCCTTGCTGTCCTAACAACTGGCAAGCTTGCAGCAGCATGTATGGTAAAAAGCTGTGTCATTTATACAAAGGAAGCGTAAACTTATAAGATGAATATCCAGCCATCAAATATCCATACAAACAAACCCAGAGCAATATCAAGGTTTATGTAATAAAGGAAGTCTGGGTTATAGCTTAAATAGGCAGTGTTGGGCTTTGTGTTACTTTCAATTAATTGTGTAGTGAAGGCACTGACCATAGTGCTACAGTTCTGCCCATTTGTGGAATGCTGCTGGAATATGTAGTAGGACAACTCATGTAGGTCGTGACTTGCAGATAGTCAAGCTGTCCATTTCACTATGTGACAAAAAGAAAGAATGTGTGAGCATATTATGAATGTACAAGGAAGACTCGGGATGGGGGTGAGTGATGTCAAAAAAAATTCTGTGGGTAGAT